GAAACTAGAATGAGGCTCGATCAAAGTGTAGGCCTCGCTGCGATCGCCTTTTTTCTGCAACTTGATCAGGACATTCTTTCTGTCAGTGAAGAGAGCGTTGACAATTTGCTGGGCATCACGTCTTCGAGTAATGCTACGAGGAAGAAAGTTGAAGTGACGATTGCGTTCGCCAATGACTCCAGTCGACATCTCGCAGTATACTAAAATGGGTTCAATGTTGGGCAAGGGCTGGATTTTGTAAACGCCGTTTGTCGTATTGGGTAATAGACTGTTGCAGCTCCTAGGAAGCTGAAAATAAAATTTTGGCACATGATCAGTCATGGTGCAGTTATTCTTTTGAGTGAAGCTCTTGAACTTGTATGACTCATCTATTCTTTGATGAAATAAGAAGATATTTCAAGGACTACGCTGCAGAACATAATAACACTGCAGGGTTCAGTGTCCCGCTCATGAAACAAAGTGACGAAAAGTAAGTAAGAGAGTAAGAGCCGGGAACAGGTAGATCGAGAAAGAACGTAAAACGTCTCCATATTTTATGCTTGTTATGGTGTGTTATATGGGCCGCTAGTGCATCAGTTTTAACTGCAAAGTGTCTTTACCCTCATTCAATGGACTTATCTTTTTCTTTTTCGTCTTTCGTGTTATCAGCAGTGCATGTAACATATGATACTTACTTTTTTTTCGTAACAGTTGCAACACCCATGAGCAGTTTTCCACATCAGCAAGGTCCATAGCACCATAAGAGAGATAAAGAATTTCAACATCTATGAAAAAGAACGAAACAGATTCTATCTGTCAGCAGACTAGTTTACCAAAAATATAACAGCGCTTTCATCCTTATGATTTCTTTTGACCTCAATCGTAATGTCTGATGATTAGCGTGAGCCCTTTATCAAAGGGTGAGCATTCATTTAAACAAACATTCATGAAAATTAGCCGAGCTTTCATTCTGAGTTGAAATGAAACTAGACGCATATCTGCGTGAACTCGGGCTTTCAATATCGAACATCTGGAGTTATCTTAGGGGACTGTCATATTGCCATTGTTACTGTCGTCACGCAACTGCGTCATTACTGGTCACGAATAAGTCTACTTGTGTGTTTAATTTCGTCTGCTGGAGTGTAATGAATGTTGTTATGGTACTAGACAACAATCCAAATAATATATTACCATTTATTAAAAATTAGATCATTGGATAATGCAATTCAAGAACTTTTATTGGCTCAGTCATTATGGTATATGAGCCAATATACCATAATCTAATTTCTGTACTTGTTAAATCTGGTTTCTTCTCACAAAAAAGTCGAGAAGATTTGTCTAATATCTTGGGGGCGTTTCTTTAATAAAACAATTATTCCTCTCTCGCTTGTTGGATATGATATGATTATAGCCAACTCGGCGCTACGTGCCTCGTTGGCTATCTATGATCTCATATCCAACGCGCGCTCGTGGAAAAATTGTTAAATATGAGTAAGTTTCTGTTGATGCCAAAGGTTGAAATTTAAAGACTTTTCAATGACTTTGAAGGCCAAGTTTTAGAAAATTAGTCCTGAAATTCAAATACTTTCAAGGCCTTTTAAAAACCCTGAGTAGGTAATGTATTTGTCTTTAACTGCAGGGAGAAGGGAATTTTTTATCTATTATTGGTACCAATTCATAGTTGTTGCCAAATCTTCACCCAATATATCCTTCTAGCAACTTGCAATGTTTGCCGCGTGGTGATTCTAGGGACCTTTGCGCAAACACAAGTATCCGAATAATGGCAATTTATTCATTGAGAAGTCACTCTCGCCTCCCCACAACCCCAGAAAAATAATCAGTGGACGGAAGTCCACTAGGGTGGGGAAGGTTAGAAATTAGATCTCTGGCATACATGACACGATATTTGATCCAAGAGGTAGTATCAGTATTATATTTTCTATATCGGGT